AGCTGGGATCATCCGAGTTGCTATATTGGTTTCCTAAATTCGAATTTTGGTAAGCCAACGAGTCAGAGCCACGAACAGAAGAAGCAATGGAACTCATTTGAGACAAGGGAGAAACCACGGCCCCAAAGTCTTGATCAGCCGAGATGCTGGCGAAGACTTGAGAGCTCGAGGTCTGGTTAGGGTACAAGTCAGAGGACGGCAGCGTGGTTACGGCGACCAGGGCATGAGTAGTGTGGGGGCTCGACTTCACCTGCAACAGGATAAAGTACGGTCACTCCGAGGCCCCACACACACCACCTCAATTGTGCTCCTTAGCTTATGCGGGCAGACTTTAGCTAATTCTTCTCTAACTTAAGCTTCGAACAGAAAGTTTCCGGATGCACATTATGGTGAAGACGTCTATTAAAGCTGGAATCAACTCTTGATAATAAGAAAAATTCCTGTGAAAAAATTAGGTGGAGGTATGGATTTTTAAATGCGGTCGCAATGTTGTGTCTCATTCGATGTTGATGTTGGGTCTCATTCGATTCGTAACGAGAATTCTTGATCGTCTGTAGGGTTAACAAAATTTCCTTGTGTTTCCGAAGAATTTCTAAGGAACAAAATCAACCTCAATATCACTAGTATAATAAACTTTAAACTCGAAGTTAACCATGCCCATAATTCTTGCCATAAGTAAAGTTCACCAAGACAATAAAGGTCAATAAGCTAAAATTGATTAATTAATGTCTGGAGAAACTACTGCATATTCGCCGATTAATCAGCTTAATTATTGGGCAGGAGAATCAGAAAAATTCTATTAGGTGAATGCTTCAGCGCGCGCCAGTCAAACATTTTGAGAACTTTAGTCAGTAGCGCATTGTATTTTTTCGGTAGAAAGAAGGGGAACGCAACAGTTTTGCAAATCTTTATTATCACGTTTTCAGATGAATAATGATAACGCGAACATAGCATAGTTAAAAAGAGAATCGATCATTACATGGCTGATAACTATACGATATTCGCTGTAGTTTTATACAAATAACTTCGAGTTCCTTTCGATGTGATAAAATAAATTCCTCTCGAAATTATAGAAGATTTGAAACGGAGCTGCGCTATCTGATGCGCCAGGCCACACATTGATGAATACAAGGACATCATTGCAAGCTGAAATAAATGAAACGAATAACTAGAGCACCAAATGCGAACAACCACAAAATGATAATTAACATTACGAGATACCATGACCGACAACAAGAATAATATCATTACCGCACAGTAGGATAACAAATCAAGTTAAGAGGTACGTTCAACATTCGTTAGGTCAGTTAAAGTGTAACACAGGATGTGCGAGGCGCCTATGCAGTAGTTTGGGTAGCACCAGTAGTTGATTTTCAATATTCAACTCGAAAATACTCTTCATTAAAATCATATTTTTTCCTGACAATGCTTTAAATCAGATTACAAAATGCGCAGTGATATAGCAAAAGCTATACGTATCTGCGATGCATTTCTCTTTCAAGGAAGATCAACAAACCAGTGCGAGACACGACTTCAACGAGAACATCTTCGCTAAAGAAACAAAAAACTCTTAGGCAATGATATTAAAATATTTCTTCTTGATTCAACAATGGCATTTCGCACCCAGATATCCCTACGCAGGTTTGACTTAATTTTTATAGCTAAATAATTAGGCACAACCGCATAAAATTAAAGCAAAAATGTTATAACTAAGTTGGTTTAAGTTTACCTTTTATTTCTCATGCCAGAAAATATAAGGGTTTGAAAATTATTGCGATTGCAGAGTTAATCTGAAATTTTGTTAATTTTTTACGAAAAAAAATAAAGTGCAATTTACTTTAAAAGATAAAAACAAAGCTTGGCATTGACAAAGCATGCGGAATGGCAATCAAAATGACTGCTGCTACTGCAGGACTGATATGGCACTGATCAGATATATAAATATATGCTTCGGTATGAACAGCGGCAGCGTTACTGATGAATGAATGATCATCCTATGGCTAAGATGAATTACATGAATGATGAATAACGAGCAGCCAATAGTTTGAACTTTCATTTCCATCTAAAATCAGTTAAGATTAAACTTATCGAAAACTAATTTCAGACATTGTTACTTAGTTATGATTGGTCGGTGTATGCCACTCAGAGAGGTCATCGAAACATAAACGATTCATCAAACTGGCTGATTAGTCTCTGCATTGCCAGAAATCATGTAAGAAAATTAATACGGAAATAGTTTATAGTTTTCTTCTCACCGAAGTATTTTTAGGGAACAACTATTAAGCAATTGAAAAATAAAGACTGAGTTGAAACACGAACGGATACTGATTTTGAGAAAATACTTTCACAGATGGCACAATCACAGGTACGAGCAACAGAACAAGCTCAATAAATCTGGGCATTGTAGGAAATAAAAGCAGGAAGAAAATCTTAAGCAATAAAAATTAGAGCCTCCACTAAGTCGAATGGAATGATTACTATACATCCTGTACGGAGATTAGAAGACGCGTTCAAAATAAAAAACCAAGAACAATGTCAGCACTAACAATCGACTCATTTAAATTTCTAAAAGTTATGAGAAGCTGTTAAAAATTAAACACAAAGAATGAGTAGGCAAAACATGGGTCCCTCGTCTAGTGAAGAAGAACCAGGAAACTCGTCCCAGAAACTTAAAATCCCATGGCACAGATAGTTTTTCTCCTTAACCACGCCTTGTCATTATTAACATTACATAAATGCTCCACTTATCCACGTTATAATAATTCTTCACTTTTCCACGTTATAAATAATGCTTCACTTATCCTTGTAATGACCACGAAATATTTAGAAGGGTACTTCAGGGTGGTGCGTTCTCATGTGATTCTTGACTTGCTTATTGCGTTTAAAAGCATAGGAGCAAACAGGGCACTGGAACGGCTTCTCGTCGCTATGCACCACAATGTGTTCAGTAAGGTGGTGACGAAGTTTAAAGGCTTTACCGCACACTGGACACCCAAACCTTCGCTCCAGAGGTATTGCTGCGCCGCAACTTGCGATTTCGGTCGCGTGTTGTCTCGACGATGCTGAAGAGGTAGCTAGCATTTCCCTCCGCGTAGCAGTGGTGGCATCCATCAAAGACGCGGTCCAGCCCAAAGAATCGCTCAAGATAGAGTCTGAAGACGCAAATTGTGCAGAGTAGGAAGTAGAGGGAAGAGACGAAGGAGATGCGGGTATCGACAACCTCAAATCGCTTCTCCAAAGGTCGTTATCGTTAACCATGGTTGCGCTGAACGTCGTCTTGTGAGTCATGGAACCACTCGGGCAACCCTGGAAAAAATGCTGCAGTCACTAGAAGATAAAGAAGCAGATGTGGCAGTTCTTCCTCGGGCAGCATCCACAAGAGCCTTCCAGCATGAAGCTGAAGCTGTCTACGAAACAGACGTCAAACCCACTAAGATTAACCGAACAAAGAAAAACCCAAACAAAAAAAAAACAAATCCCGTTCTAAGAAGTTAACGTTTTCCGGTACATGAAGTTCGTGCTGAAAAATTACTTTAACTCCAACAAAATGGAGCCCTACCAAGCTCGAGCAGAATGTTTTCGCGTTTCAGTTAAGCGTCCAAACATTTCAGGTACCTCCAGGAGCATCCAACTTGTTAATAAATTATTGGATATCCACTAATCATACCAGTTTCAATCGGCAGATCTTAACGACAAAAAACTATGCGACATCACGAATATAGGATTCTTATCGCATTCAATTTAGTACGTATTTTAAAGATTTATTTTTCAAACATCGAGTTATTTTCGAGGATATTTGAAAGCGAGCAAAACAAAATCTCGACTTTTCACGAAATTATAAGATCTGCAACACCAGCCCGAAATATGGCTTCGAAAGATTTCAAATTTTGTAAATACAACCTTTTCAACGAACACAAGAAACTCGGACAGCTTTTCATAGATTTGCTTCCGCATCAATTTTCAGGTGATGAGGTGCCATGCTGTTCTTTCATGTGAGCGAACATACTCGTCTCGTTCGGGAATACACTGGAACACAAGGAACACGCACGAGTCTTGCACGAGGCTCGTAATTCGTGCTGACGAAGGTGCTGACGTTGCACAAAGGTCCTCTCGCACGTGGAACATTTGTACGGCCTCTCACCAGTGTGCAGGCGGAGGTGATCACGTAGGTGGCTCGTGTTGATGAAACGTTTGTCACAAAAGTGACAGCCGTGAGGACGAGCGGCGTGAACACCACCTGTGCTTGCCAAAGTAGAGTTTGAGTTCGGCAATAAACCATCAGGCGGAATCATCTTCCTAAAGAGTTGAGAGGCGACCGTTACCACGTCGTAACCCGAATCGTCTTTGCCGTCGCTCGAGTCGATACCAGCATTGATATCGTCTGAGAACGAGAAGACCCGAGGAAAAGCAGAGACGTCTGTCATTCTCCCAAAAGTGGCGGTGTTGCCCACAGTCGAGTGCTGGTTGGCAGTCGCTCCAGAGGAACTGCTTCCATCTTTGGAGGAAACTCCATGGCGACTGAAGTAGCTGGGAGTGTACTGGAAGCGGCCCTGCAAAATGAGGTGGAGGGGTCAGCTTACCACCAGCCAGAATTGTGTGTGTGCTTTCATGGGGCAGCCATGCTCCCCTCCACCTCACGTAACATAATTATATCGAAAAACATTACGGTACGCATTTACTGTTGGACTCAAAATGAGCTAGAACGAGACGGTCGATATTGCAGTGAAATGAATTTTGCGTCCACAAATAATTAGGCCTTTTTATGATAATTCCATAATGGAATAAAATGCTTCATGAACTCAGCTTGGGTATTGAGACATGACAATAAAAATCGAAGGGGAACAAAATTTCCTGACGAATATAATTTTATTTTTCATTTCATAAGTGATTAATATCCCCCCAAAAAATATAGGCTGTTGCTGAATTTTCTGACTAAGGAAATATATGCGCATTGACCCGATACGCGCTTATATCCATCAAGGAGAAAGAATAAACTTTCACTACAAATTCGTTTATTGCGACGCATGATTCATTTAAACAATTTACGACTACGCCCCTAAAACAGCATCGATATCAGGTAATCATTCACTGTGACTAATGGGCGTCTAGTTATTAGTACAATAAACGAAAAGATTCAGTATTAGAGTCACGACAATCGGTAAGGTGCCGACTAAAATAAATATATACATGAAATGGACATCATTAAACTAAGTACATGTTTTTCCTTCGCCACTAGTGTAATGCAAAATATTAAAGCCAAAAATATAAAAATCGTTTCCACTTTCCCTCGAAAAATTGCTTTGTCACACGGCGCATTGCTGTTCCTAAAGTTTCGTAAATAATGCATGTAATAAAAATAGGAAGAGCTCCTTAAGCTCATAACATTTGGATGAGTGCATTATGATAATAAATAAGATCGATTGGAATCAGTTGAATTTCGAGCACCAAAACAGCATGGCTGATGAATCTTACACCCAAATATTTACGACATTGTAAGAAAAAAAAATAATAATACGTATTTTGCGAACGGAACACGGACACTGCAAGCCTTCAATACCTCAGTTATGCCGAAAAAAAGGTCACATTCAATACTGTGGAAACAAAAACGCATTATTTGTGGAAATAAAAATGCATCCCAAGTTCAATCAAAACACAGCCGTCATCCATAACCATTCGAAAAACTCGGTCTTGGCACAGAAGAAAAGTTATAGAGACTAAGACAATTGAGCTCATCAGACGAGCTGTCATGCAAGGAAGACGCATATTTACACTTATTAGTATGGAATGCGAATCACGACTAATTACCACTAATCTAATGAGAATACAGCTGCACTAAACGATTAATAATACTGTTTTAAATCACTAGAGCGTAAACGAAACGCCAACATAGCGTCATGTGAAACGGCTAGAAGCAATACTCCAGATAGACCAATATACAAAATGAAAATACAGTTATTAAACTACCAAAATTACATCAACGTATACTTATTTGCCGCTGTACTCCGAATGTCAAAATCTTTGACAGTTCAAGGACGTTAATTGTGCACCCTCAACACTAATAAAATTAGACACGGATCTCGTAAATTAATTCTTGTGACACAATGTGAAACGTGTACTGGATAAACTGGTCTATCACATTAGTTTGAGGAAACCATTAGCCTGATCTATAGATCCTTACCAGCTCCGAACAATTACTTATTAATTTGGCACAATATTTGAAAACATATCCTTAAGTAATTAAAGAGTACGTTTTAAGAATTGCACGTGAACGAAATTTATAAATGATGTAAACGAATATATATATACGAATAGACCTTGACCAATAACAATATTTCAAAGCGATGGCAAACTTTTCGCCAACTCTATGAAATGTCCTTTCAATTATAATTAGCAATTCCATTAAAACCACTTGTATCTCGTACCAAAACTCAAAGCTAAATAATTTATCAGGTTCCGTTTCTTAGATCAGCTGCAGCGCATAAGCAAATACCTTCACCAGAAACGTGTCATTCACAACCAGCGCAATTGAACATTTGTCGCCCCTTAAAACCGCCGCTGCGCCTGCACCCCAGTAGCGACAGTGGCGGAAGATAGTAAACTCGCTACGGTGTCGGGAAGCTCGTCCATAAGCGCGCTATCAACATCGGTCGCCGTACCGCCGGCGTGCGGCAACAGGTCGCTCCCCGTAGCCGCGGCGTCGTCGCCGTTGCTTTGACTGTTTCCCGAAGTCGGGTGGAAATTGTTTGTTTTAAGAGAACGATTTGAGTTCGACTGCAGCATTGGAAGGAGCGCAAAATGCGGAGGAGAGAGCGGTGTGCTTCCCGAATATGAGCCGTTTTTGTCAGATGGTCCACTCAGAGAGTTCGTAACTCCGCATCGTGGATTATTTAGATGCTTGCGATAAATGTGGTGCTTGAGAATATGACGACGACTGAAGCCTTGGCCGCACATAGAGCAGAGATATTTCTCTCCTGTGTGGATACGCTCATGGTTCTGCAAATGCTGTTTCTTTTTAAAGCGGGATTCGCAAAATGGACAGGGAAAAGGTCGTTCGTCGACGTCATCGACAATACCAAAAGGGATAAGACCAGATAATCCGGCGCGTCCATCGCTCGACAGCGACTTGAGTTTATTTTCGGGGGATGAGGTCGAAGAGATGGGAGTGTGCAGGGAAGCTGATGTGGCTCCCTGCTGCAGAGCAGCTCCCGACAGCGCAAACAGGGACTGATACACGCTCCCGATTGCAGCCAAGTCCAGTGAGTGACTAGCCGAAGGAGCGAAGTCTTCAAAAAAGGAAGCAGAAGTGGGGGCGACAGCATCGGCGGGGGGCGGACCAGCCTGCAACAGACCCCAACGTTTGGTTTACTGCTCAGCGGTGGTATGGGGTCTACATGTCTCACTAAATGAGACATCTACTTTTACTTCATAAACTTATAGGGAACATCTTAATTCTGCAAAAAGCGGTTCGAAGCGCTTACACATAACGTAGTTCTTGAAATGTCGAGAGAAACCAAAATATATATTTTTCCAAAATTCGAATTGAAGTCACTTCATTGCATCTTCACGATTCCGAATCGAAGGCGGTAGCACAACTATGAGAATCGACGCGCACGAATCGTTACAGTAAATTTAGGAATTGATACAAATCGGTCAGCACAATCGACTTGAAAATTAAAATATTTGACCAGAATCAATGTCGTAAATTACAAAATTAAACTAGAATAAACGATAAAAATATAATAACTTCGGTAATTCGTAAGATAGTTTGCAGAGGCGCCGATGTGCTGACTGAAGCTTAAGTATCTATTCAGTTATTATCACGGAGGTAATTTTTTTCAAACAAATCGCAGAACTCTGGGTCTTGTGCGATGCCATTCATGTGAACGTCTATTGATACAAATAATCAGACAAGATATGCAAAAGCGAAAATTTTGTAGGTTATAGAAAAACCGTGGACTCGAGATTTTTCTTTGACAGCTCAATATAATGTCGAAATCAACTAATCAATTTGTCACTAAGAAGGCTGGGATAGCAATGTTTTCACGAGAACGCTTGTCACAAGTGAACAAGATTGAAGAAATAGCAATGCATTGAAAGCCTACTCTCAAAGACAGATTGGCCACCAGCTAATAGCGAATACCATTAGACAAAAAGAAACGTATGATCGCTGGAACGAATTCCAACCTATAACTGAATCAAAAAGTAAAATCCATACAGGCAAAAATATTATGAATGCAAAAACGACCAACAAACTTGAAAATTGTTGAAAGTGATTCCAACAAACAGCTTATTAATCGCAGTAATCAACACATAATTCTAATAACATGACCTGAATCTCTTGGCCTCTAATATAATAATAATTCTAATAACTTGGCCTGAAACTCTTGGCCTCTATAATCAATTATTACGAGAAAAGATGATTAGCACGGTATATTACGGCATATAATCAATACGTAACACTATAACCGTATAAACTATCAAGCATCAAAAGACTAGAGAAACGTTCAAGACACTGACGCATTGACCTCAAACATGTGTTCAACGTAACATATAACATATTGGTTTAATTTGTCTGTTCTCAAACTAAATAATTTCAAAATACGGATAACTGGAGAATAAATCTTGAACATTTTGATGGATTCGTTTCATAGAGAATAAAGAATGCCACAATTCCTTCGCTAGATTGATATACTACCAGTTGAATGAAATTATTTTGAATTAAAAGAAACTTAGACGGAAAAATAATCCTGGGCCTTTTCATCAAAGCTTTCATTCCGTTGTCATAAGATAAAGAGTAAAGGCATTTAAATGATAAAAACGGAACAACGTATATAAAATAATACTAATCAGTTTCGGCACAGACGTGATAAAAACAGTTAGAATACAAAGTAAACGAATGGGAACTATGACGACTCTTAGAACTAAAATTACCAAGAGCACAAATTAGAAAACAAACAATCCCTGCAAGTCAAAAAATAAGGCATATGGTGATAACATATATATCCTTTCAGTAAGCACACAAAATCCTTCAAATAAGTTGGCATCTATTATTAAACCCAACTACAATAAAGAAAGCTCCTTTGACTAGCGGGTTATTCGTTAAATATAAATAAACACAAAAATTTTGCAACAAATAACATGAAATGATGCGCTACGCGCTGACCTCAAAACGACGCTATGAAAACAATGCAAATTTCCCTGCTTCACTAAAAAAGTGAAGTACAAAAGTAAAGGTTACAAGACACAAAGTGATGTCCGACTTTCCAATCAAGGGATGCAACATACAAGATGCTGCTACTAAGAAACGATGTTCCCGTCTAAATTATCGCATCTGTTGGAACTAAGAACCACATAGGTAATATAATATAATATAAACTTTGAACAGCAAGGTTACGAGAGAAGAGCACCGCAATTCTCTACCAACTTTTTATCGTTCGTATCCATCTCTCAATAAAATGGAGTAAGTGGTGGATAGTGGCAGGAAAAGTTTAGTGTCTATGCCCTCGCTATAGAACCGTTATTTGGCTCTTGGTTTACCCATCATACAGCGCTAGACCAGATGACCTGACCAACACCACGATATCACAGGTACACGGTAGCCCCCAACACTCAAAGCTGTTCATTAGTTCTGAGTGTGGTTCCTGGATTTATGATGAAGCAAAGACGACAGCTGTACAAAAGCCATATCGCATAAGTTACAGCGGTAAGGTTTCTCGCCGGTATGAAGACGTTCGTGCTGTTTTTGGTTGCTCTTGCTGTTGAAGCGACTGGCGCAATACTGACATTTGTAAGGCCGTTTGGCCATCTCTTCAGGACTGATGTATTTGGGAGTCCGTGACCCAGCGAAGCGAACTTCAAGTCGTTCAGTGTTCGACGACTCTGGTAGTGTAGGGTTATTCACGCGTCCAGGATTATTGATGTTCGGAATCGAAAGATGATCAATCTTGCAAGGCAGTGAATTATCTAGGTAGGGGGATCGTTGCATTATTTGAGGAGGCGGCAACAACAGCGGCACACCGGGTAAATCCACGAGCGGATGCTGCTGCCACTTAGTTCGCGATGCTGCCACAACTGATGCCTGCAAGAAAGAACGGCTCGCTCAGCGGTACGTGTCAATATGCAACGACCAATACATGCACTTCAACGTTTACCATTAATGCCCCCAGCAGCGTGACCTTTATCACAAAATCTATCGCATACGCCGTTCAACGTACATTTGTACAAAGTAGAGAAATTTTATTGGAACATAACTTCAATGGTTTCTACAAAAATAAACAAAAAAGTTTTTTTCAACGTAACGAATTTCAAAGTGCGGAATTTAGCGGCGACGGTAGTTGCAGAACATTTTTTGAAGTCGCTTCCTAAGCGTTGGGTAGGACGCATAGGAAATAAAGATCAGGCTCTACACTTCTGGCCACCGAGATCACTCGATCTCACCCCATGTGACTGATCTGAAGAACCTTATCACTGCTACGGTGCACTCAGTAACAGAAGATATGCTTTCTCGGGTGTGGAACGAGTTTGGCTACCGTTTAGATGTTCGCCGTGCAGCACAAGGAGATAGTGAACATTTATAAATATGTAAGAAAAAATAAATCTTCCTCTTTACAGCGGTGAATAAATTATACATTTTAAATTTACTTAACTATATACGAATTCACTAAATTGGGTCAATAATTTAGAACAACCCTGAATATTATAATCTGGTTCTGCCTAAACATCTGTGGTCTTGCTGCCTGCTAATGAATTGCAGCAAAAACTCGGCTACGCCCTTTCAATAATTAATGAATATTCAACATCTTTGAACTCGTCTGAATCATTGAAATTTAAGATGAAAAAAATGATATAGTGAAACTCTTCGTTTTGAAAGTGCTCTGGTTAATTTCAAAATAAAATTAGGGAATATGCACGTCTAGTATTCCACAAGAGGTTTCAGTGGCTCACGGTGTGATGCTCAGAAATATTCAACAATTTACCCAAACACAATTCCTTGAACTCTCAACACCGATTAAATCCAAACTAATTATATCATCGATGTAGTAAAATACAAGAAAAAAAATCTATTTTTATTATACTTGGGTTTTCCTTCATTTCAGTGTCAAATTTCGATTTGATAAAAAAAAATATGAAAATATCGCGACTTTTCAGCTATGACTGAAAAAATTTTCTAACATAAGAGGAACTTTTATCGACAGCTACCTCGGCTGTTATTGCAATGCATTGTCTATAGCAATGCACTGCCAGTAGCAGTCTAACGCAATTTAAATTCGTTAATATAGCGTAGGATCCATCGCGATACAACTGATGCACTTTGAAACAATCGTTCACAATTTCAAATTGAAAGGCTATTTAACATGAAGAACATCTTCACACTATGATAATTACTTCTTTAATTGCTGACTGAAACGTCGTGGCGAATAGCACATCGTTTGATCACTCAATTGAGGCATCGTCATCGAGGATCCAGCTTTTAATTCAGGGTGCAGGGCTAGAATCAACATTTTCTTGACTGCATGTTCTCATCGCGTCAGCAATACACCCAGTGTCGATACCCAGGCACGGCTGGGCGCCCGCACCGAATGCATCAGGCTCAGCGAAGCTTGCTCGAAACGAACTCGTATCCTGAGTAAATTTGCGGGCGGTTAGCTGTGTAATCGAGGAAGAGGTGCGGATGGGATGCGGGTTGTGACTGTTGGAAGCTTCGAAATGATGCCGGAATTGATGACGCTTAAGATGTCCAACTTGAACAAAACGAGCGTCACACACAGAACAAACGAACGGTTTCTCGCCCGTATGAAGAAGTACATGCTGCCTCAAATGATGCTTCTCTTTGAAGCGCCTCGAACAATACGAGCACTCGTGAGGACGTGCATCTGCATCCTGCGAGTCTGAAAATCGATTGTTGAAGGACTTGGCGAGATCAAAAGTATTGCGTCGAGCCAGAACAGACGCAGCTCGGTAGCTTGGTCCAGAGTAGATGTCTGGTCTGAGTCCAGAGTCGCGAGGCTGACTCAAGGAGGCGAGCCACTGACGTGCCTGCACAGAGGAAGGAATGCTCAGCACTGCACGTAGAGTTCAGCGCGACTAAGCTCATGTGAACAGTATTGACGGAGCATTCCATTATCAGCACAGATCAAGTGAACGCCCACTTCGACGAAAACGCATCCTGTCGTCAAGTCAACCTTGTTGATGGAATTTAAACTTGCAATGCATCTCATTCTTAGATTCTTCGTATGTCATTGCGCGTTGCATCTCGTCGACAGCCTCTAATCACCAAATTATTAGACGAAATTCATCTAGTAGTCATGAGGTTCATTTGAATCAGGTCAATCGTCAAA